TAGTATGTATACTTGGTGAATGAAGGGGAAACCACACCTTAAAGACCTCTCTGATGCAAGATAAACCTGTAACGGGGCCCCTAAGGCAAAGGGTTGCCCCCCCCCCCCCGAGACTGTGGATATAGACAATATACATATATCTAAAACCGGGCACAGCTGCCAAGAAACTCATGTTGCCCAAATTTAGTCAGCAGCATAATATTATTTAATAGGGAAGTGAGTTGTAGCGGTGGAACATATTTTATACCCATTCTACTTCAACCATATTCAATGTAAAAACTGCTATATTTGAATATTTTTTTAAAATATTTTGTAATTGTATTATAGTGTTCTTAAAAGAGTTTTCTATTTGTCTTTTTAATTTTTGTTTTACTTTATGTAACAACACCAAGACAAATTCGTCGTATGTGTTAACCCTGTGTCTGATTCTGATTAAACTAAACTGCTAATCATGTGAATTCCATGCTGTTGATGCAAATAAGGATATAAGTTATAACAATACAAGGACAACATTTAGAATTATTGACGGTTTAGGCTGACTCTTTTTTGGCAGTTACAAAAAACGTAAAACCTCCACACTATTTCAGTTTTTCATTGACATACACTGTAGATTTAATGTAGCCTACTGAGGTAATTAATCAATTGAGAAATATGGTAATATTCTTCTATGCGATCTGACTTCCTAATGCACCCATTTTGTCAGTTGTTGAATTAACCAGATAAGAATATTGTTTTAATTCACAGTATATGAGGTACTTTTATAAATATGTTTGAATTAAAATGTTTTCACAGACGCTTAAGCCTTATTAAATTACAGCATGCCCAAGAACGTCAACAACCCCCTTCCCCATACTTTACAGCAAATGGTTCCGTTTGTAAGCCAGCGCCGCTAGTGTAGTGGTATCATGCAAGATTCCCATTCTTGCGACCCGAGTTCGATTCCCGGGCGGTGCACGTTTTGAAAAACAGCTTCGTCCACCAGGCTGAAGCCAAACTCTCTCCCATCTATATAGCCTATCTATCTATCTATCTATCAGAAGTACATATTCTCCAGTTTATCCAGCAAATTGACATGTTTTTAAATCTGGAAGTAAGGCTGTTAACCCTTGTGTTGTGTTCGAAAGCTGTTACCGTTCATGGTGTTCGCGGGTCAATTTTGACTAACTAAAAAATGACTCTCATCTTTATGAAAGGTGGAGTTCCCATGGGGGGAGGGGGCCAGAGGGAGGGGAGACCATTTGAATGTTGCTTAAAAAACTGATAAAACATTAACTTCTGAACCAAACCAAACACTTCGTAACCTGTTGCAGTTTGCAGACAGGGCCAGACAGGATGCTACAACACTAGAGGGCAGTACAACTCAATTTGAGCTGTTGGACGTTAATTTAAGATCAGCTTTCTACAACATTCAACCACTACATGTAGGTGGCAGGCTCTTCAACTACTTCTAAAGTAACAGATACAAACACTCATTCGTCCTCACAACCATTACCATCTTGAACTTTTCCCAACTGGAATATTGAGGCCTACTCATAGGATAATGTCCATATTGTCCTTCTGTCCTTCTCTATTGTCACTTTATCGCTGGTCATATATCTTCGTTATGATCTTTGAGTAGTTGTTGCCCCTGTCGGTTCTTTTGTGATGTGTTTTGATCCTGATTATAATGCACCCTTGCTTTCATGTAGGGCGATGACAGGTTAGTGAGTTTGTTGTTGTTGCTGTATGATAATGCTTGTGTGTATTAATGCAGTGCTGCTGAGTCTGTGTATCTATCTATCTATGTATCTATCTATTTATCTATCTATCTATCTATCTATCTATTTATCTATCTATTTATCTATCTATCTATCTATCTATTTATCTATCTATCTATCTATCTATCTATCTATCTATCTATCTATCTATCTATCTATATATCTATCTATTTATCTATCTATCTATCTATCTATCTATCTATCTATCTATCTATTTATCTATCTATCTATCTATTTATCTATCTATCTATCTATTTATCTATCTATCTATCTATCTATCTATCTATCTATCTATCTATCTATCTATCTATCTATCTATCTATCTATCTATCTATCTATCTATCTATCTATTTATCTATCTATCTATCTATCTATCTATCTATCTATCTATCTATCTATCTCTAAATGGGGCCATCATTTACAAAATGAACATCATGCTGCATTGAAAAATACTTGAAACTAGTGATTGAGGCTATACATTAATTTACTGATGTAACGAATCAATTGAGAAATATGGTAATTGTATCATATTCTTATACGATCTGACATCTGACTTCCTAATGCAACCATTTTGTCACTTGTTGAATCAACCAGATAAGAATATTTTAATTCATAGTATATGAGGTACTTTTATCCTGTAAATATGTTTGAATTAAAAATGTTTGCACAGAAGCTTAAGCCTTATTAAATTACAGCATACCCAAGAACGTCAACAACCCCCTCCCCGAGAGTTTTAACCAAATGGATCCCACTGTTCACCAGCGCCGCTAGTGTAGTGGTATCATGCAAGATTCCCATTCTTGCGACCCGAGTTCGATTCCCGGGCGGTGCACGTTTTGAAAAACAGCTTCGTCCACGAGGCTGTCACTCTCTCCCATCTATATAGCCTATCTATCTATCTATCTATCTATCTATCTATCTATCTATCTATCTATCTATCTATCTATCAGAAGTACATATTCTCCAGTTTATCCAACAAATTGACATGTTTTTACATTTGGAAGTACCGTTTATGGTGTTCGCGGGTCAATGTTGACCCATGATTGATCTCAGTCCAAAACACACAAAAAAAATGACTATCATCCAATATTGTTTTAATGACATCATAACTAATTTATTATGCATTCATAACCGTACAATCCCGTTGTAATGTTATGTTATGGCCCCACCACATATTGCACACGTGACACGTGCATGTGTGTGTTCAGGTTCAAGTGTTAGTACCGGTTAGTACATATTCTTTGTGAAAGGTGGGGGAGGGGGCCAGAGGGAGGGGAGACCAGGTGCATGTTGCGAACAATTATTGTTACAGTGGATGAATGAGGTGGGGCTGGGGTCGTGTCTAAAGTCAAAGATTAATCTTGATCATGAAGCCTTGTTCCGATAAAAAAAACTAGAGCGTAGTTATTATATAATTTTAACTTGAAATGGGTCACGGGAGACCCGAACAGTATGTCACTTTCTGATGTAGTGAGAACTGTAAAGTTACATAACACAACACCTGTAATAGCGACCAGAAGTCCAAAAACAAAACCGGAAATTGACCAACGAGAAAAAGTGCGCACCTTTGAAAGCTTTGGTAAACGTCACGTGTTCAAATCGATGGATTGATCACATCCATCGATCAGTAACTTCCTGCTACTGCAGGACTGAACTGTGAGTAGTAATGACAGATTAAGGGAAGTTACTATGCACCTTTTCGACTTAAGGATACAATATTAGAAACGAAATTCGGACGACAAAACCTGTGGATTTCTGGAACTTTGTTTCGAAAGCAGCTCCTTACAATGACTGACTAAGAAGATGAGCTGAGCCTGGTTGGATGATTGAGAACATGTGGATCAAAACCCAGTGGGGGAAATATCCTTTATGATGTGGTTGTTGGACACTTTGCCACCATGAAGAACTGTGGGTCTTCAGCAGGTGAGTGTAACAACATCCTCTCCTCTCTGCTCTGTGTTCTTTGGTTGTAAGAATATTAAAACCCATAATAATGAATATGCATTCATTTTGACTGGATGAGGGTTATTTGGTGCAGAGGTGGGAAGTAACTGATTTACTCAAGTACTGTACTTCCATGTTATGCAACTTATACTTCTATTCAGTTCAGAGTGTACTTTGACTCCACTACATGTATTTAATACCTTTAGTTACTTCACAGATCTGGATGAATGATGTGAAATATAATCAGGTGTTGAATCAGACTTTAGTTCCACCTGGAGTAAATCCACCAGCTACCCTGCAGAATACAAAGTCATTCAAACTAGCTGCACCTTCACCAGCTTTGAGAACACTTTCATGATCAATCATTATAAAACATATCATATATATTATTCTGAAATGGACCAATCTGCACAACGACTACTTTTACTGTCGCTACTTTCACTATATTTAGATGAGAATACTTTTCTACTTTCACTTGAGGAACATTTTGAATGCAGGTATTTAACAATACAAAGTTAAGAGGATACAGTGTGAACGAGAAAACGTGGCCTTAATAAGGTAAGGAAAAGGAGGTAAATTAATAAAATAAATACAACATAAGACAAACAAATAGTTTGATAACATTATGCTTTCCAGTCTGAAATAAAAAAAAATGCTATGTTTAAGGATTTTGTAAGATTACGTTTTTATGTAATGACATGACGAACTTAAACTAAAACTTTTGGTATCACATTTGACATCATGACTCCTATTGCTTCCCTTGGGAACAAAGTGAAAGGTGCTTTTAAGGCACGCTGTGGAACCAGCAGATGGCAGCACTTCACTGAGCAGTGAGGAGGAACAAAGGTCTCTGACGGTGAGAGAGCATGAGGTCCTGAGGAGAGCATCATCTCTGCTTCTTATGTCTTATATTCCTCTTAGAAAATCACACACTTAACTCCTAGTTCGTGAAAAGTTTCTCTAAAACTTCAGGAATTAAATAGACACTCTAACAAGGAAGTGGGATTTTCTGAATAATCGATAAACCGAGATTTAGAAAGAAGGTGCAGACTGTTTTGGATCTACTTTTTCTCAAAACAAAGCGCCGTCAGCATCAGGGGGGAGACCCGAACCCCCAGAACAGCTTCTCTTTGTCTCCCAGTCTCACACCTCCTCCACTTGGAACAGGACAACAGCATGGCAAGACCTGAAAGGCGTCACGTGACTCTGCATCTGCTCTCTGCTGTGGCAAGATAACCACGCAACGAGAGAGAGAGAGAGAGAGAGTAGGGGGAGAGAGAGAGAGAGAAAGGGGGAGAGTTGAGGAGGAGCTTGCAGCGATAAGATTCCCTCCACGCTCCTCCAGCATTACAAACTCTCAGTGTATCCATCCTCCTCACCTCTCCTCTCCGCAGCGCACTTTGCTTTTTCGCGGACGCACACTTTGGTTTTAATTACTCCCCCTCCCCTTTCACCCCCCGTTGGAAGGTGCACAGGTGCATCCCACTGTTGTTACTCGCTCCCTGCTCGGTTGATTATGGTCACAACCCCCGCGGTGCCAAGGTGGAGTCACCGCGCGTTTCTCGGATCGGTGCGCTTCTCCAGGGGCTGGGATGCGCACCGGGCACCTCTCGCTTCCTGCCTAATTTCGGGTCCGGACAGGAGTCCAGTTCTGCCCCGGGGCGCCGAGGCAGGAGGAGCCAGTCCACCCGGAGCAGGATGCCGGTGATGAGAGGGCTGCTGGCCCCGCAGAACACCTTCCTGGACACTATCGCCACGCGCTTCGACGGCACCCGTGAGTAAACAAAACAAAAACGAGCGCTTTTTCTCTTCTGGTGATCTGTTCTGAACCGCACACAGAGACTGGATATCGACCTGTTTTCTCAAAACACTAAGGAACAAAACTCACTATATGGAATACTGCACTTCAATCTAGGAATGATATTCAGGAAGTTTAAAACTTCAAGAGAATTTCAGTCTGCATTTAACTAGTTTCTTCACATCCACATGTTTTCAAAGTGAGTCTTAGAGGACTTAATGTGCACCTTTCTGCGCAAGAGTGCATCCATGCTTTAAAAGGATGAAATCACAATGGAAAATATTACTACATTATACAAATGCATCACATGTGTGCAAGTCCTTCTGTATCCACTGATGGTTGATACACACATGTCTTCAGGTGCATGCTATTGAAGGTGTTGGTGCTACCTGTCTGCATAACAAGAGGTTCATCCATGCTTCCATAACATGAAAGCAAATTGTTTATTAATAAGTGCATCATATAATGGTGTGCATCACAGTGTTCTGGTGTTCTGCTGTGTTGCACTGATGGCAGTGTAATGATGCATGCAAACAAGGTGATTTTACCAGCTCATACTTTGCACACGTTTGTGTTTGTGTGAGACTTCCTTCAGGTTCTTTGTGCACCTTTTGTGGCCAGTGTGTTTATTTTGCACACAGGCTTCACTTTGTATCATCACCTATAACGCTGCAGCTCAAACTCAAAGCTTCTTTGACCTAATTCCCCACATGAGTTGTGTTCTGATCTCCATTATATGTGAAGCAATATCAGTTGAAAAGAAGCCGGACAAAGAGTGGGAGACTCTGTCCTTCTTCTCTTCGTTGGCGAGTGTGTGTTGTGAGCAGATGCGATGAGCAGCCCTGTGTTTGCACTGGGTGGGCGTGTGAGAGATGCTTTATTGCAGTTGGTCTTTGCATCTGCGTTGAATATTCAGAGTGACAGAAGTGTGTGTGTGCAGAGTCTTTTCTAACACCGTGACAGACAGATGATGGAACAGATTATCACAACAGGCAGCTAGAGAGTCGCTCTTGAGGTTTTTCAAGTCCTTCACCAACTACACTGACAGTGGCAACAGTGCCTCTTGCTTTTGCCATTTAAATAATCTGACCTTTAAAGGCAGTGAGTTGTTAGTGCCGTCTTCAAACAGAAATGAAAAGCGTGTGCTGTGTTTTCACTCTCATCTCTCTGCTCCCATGTGCCATACACAAACAAGACTCTATAAAGCTCTCAAACACTGTAATCATCATGTCATCTGAATGATTCAGGAGAAACGCTTGCACATCCATCCACCCCCTGTGCACATGTGTTCCCGCACACGCAGCCCTTATCATGGGAGTGATCATGAAGTGGTCTGAGCCGGGCTATTTCTCTTCTGAGCGTCTAAAACACAGCCTGGCGCTTCCAGAGGTGCCGCTAATTACACATCTCCCCAGTACACGTGCAGTCATTGTAATTAACTCGCATGGATGTCAAGAATTCATCGTGGCCTTTCTGCTTGTCAAAGTGGGAGGGAGGGGGGGCGGGGGCGAGACGAGAGGATGTGGGGGTGGGGAGGGCTGGATGCGTGTGTGTGTGTGTGTGTGTGTGTGTGTGTGTGTGTGTGTGTGTGTGTGTGTGTGTGTGTGTGTGTGTGTGTGTGTGTGTGTGTGTGTGTGTGTGTGTGTGAAGGATGCCATGGCTTTGTTGTGAGGAGGGGGAATTTCAGATGTCTAAATGTGTACCGTTAGCCGTGACAAACATGCAGATATGTGATGTTTTTGAAATGCTGGGATATTAGTTCCTCATCAAATCAGATTCTTGAGTAAGAATGGATGAGAGGCGAGTTATGTGACTGAACACAGCAGTGTGTGTGTGTGTGTGTGTGTGTGTGTGTGTGTGTGTGTGTGTGTGTGTGTGTGTGTGTGTGTGTGTGTGTGTGTGTGTGTGTGTGTGTGTGTGTGTGTGTGAGAGATTGTGATTCAAATGGAAACCATGATGACTTTAATAAGCCTCTCATCTCTGACAGCTGCTGCTGCTGCTCGTTGTTTTTCGGTCTCTGTCGACTGATTTTCGATCTGGAAATGTTTGCATTGCACTTTGAAATGTCTCCGGTGCTTAAGTCCCTCAAATGGGGCTCTCTCACACACACGCACACACACACACACACACACACACACATACACACACACACACATACATACACACACACACACACACACACACACACACGCACACACACACACACACACACGCACACACTCTCTCTCTCTCAGCTGTGTGTGTGTGTGTGTGTGTGTGTGTGTGTGTGTGTGTGACGCCCTGGGCTCTAAGGCACCTGCTGCTCTTACTTCATGTGCTATCTGAAATGGCAGAGTGACTGTGTCAAATGCAAATTAACATTTGTATAATTGAGGTCCGCCAATTTAAAAACTGAATTTAGAAAGTTGTAAATGTTGGAATCATGCTTTTCATTTACCTAATGTATTCAGAGATGTTTATTTACACGGTTGGTGGAGTTGTTTGTATATTTGCAGATCCGTTTTATACTTGCGTCGTCTTTTTCAGTTTAGTGTTTTTTTGACTTTGTGGAAGGTTTTGCGTCATCAGATTCCACATGTACAGATTATTGATCTACTCTGGACCAACTCTACCTCCTGACTTTCAACACAACAACCTAAGTAGATGAAGTAGAAAGTGTGCACCTCCAGTATGCTTCACATGGTGGAAAAGTGATTTTACAAGCTCCAGCAAGAATGGAGACCTTGCTGTTATTCTGAAGGACTTGTCTGTTTCCATGAAAGCTCAGGAGTTAGTATTTCATTGTTATAGCGGTCTCATTAATCGTTAAGTACCAGAATGATATCAGTGCTTTCTTTCTCCTAAATCCTAAATCTGAATAGCCAGTTGAATGAATAAAAACTGAGCGGGCCCCCTGCTGTGACTGATTTAATGATACTAGTAGTGGAAATGATTACTTTTTTATAATGGAATTGACAAAGAAACTGTATTTAAGTGCATGAAGGACATTGCAATGCAGTAAAGAATCAATCACTGACATGCAATCAATTATTTAGTTAATTTTTAAACACAAATGACAAAACACTGGCTGGTTCCAGATTCTCAAATGTTAAGATTTGCTCTATTTGTCCATCCATCATCCTCTCCCGCCTCTCCGTGGTCGGGTCTCGGGGGTAGCAGTTCCAGCAGAGAGCCTCAAACTTTCTTTTCCCCTCATCAATCAGCTCTGACTGGGGGATCCCAAGGCGCTCCCAGGCCAGCGAAGAGATATAATCCCTCCACCTGGTCCTAGGTCTACCCCTTGGTCTCTTCCCAGCTGGACGTGCCTGGAACACCTCCCTAGGGAGGCGCCCAGATGGCATCCTAACTAGGTGCCCGAACCACCTCAACTGGCTCCTTTCGACGCGAAGGAGGAGCGGTTCAACTCCGAGTCCCTCCCTGACCGAACTTCTCCCCTTATCCCTAAGGGAGACACCAGCCACCCTGCGGAGAAAACCCATCTCGGCCGCTTGTATCCGCAATCTCGTTCTTTCGGTCATGACATGGCTCTATTTGTATTTGATATACTTTTGAATTGAATATGTTTTTGATAGTAAGCTTTACAGAAAAGAAAATGTAAGTTATAGGTTTCATTCCTTAATACCCTGAAGGGTCATCCTGCTTTTCTAGAATTCTCCTCCTGGCTTCCCAAGATGGATTAGATCAGGGGTGGGGAACCTCCGGCCCCCGGGACGTATACGGCCCGCGAGACCATTTGGTACGGTCCTCGAGGTAATTTGTAAACACACGCAAAAAAGAAAAAAATTAAAGAAATCTAGACCGCAAAATAATTAAACAAGTGAGTACCTATTTTTCCTGGCCAAAGTCAGGGTCCTTGAACACAACACAAGCCGAACGTGTCATCACGTGGTATATGTCTCGTCTGACAGGGGTGTAGTTCTGCCGGAGAGCACCAGAACGCCGCTCCAGCACTTCAGATAAGGAGCCTTACACATGCTGCAGTTTTTGCGTGGCTGTGTCTTTAGTTGTAAGCCCAGTGGCGATCTGTCACACTGATCATACAGTCAATAACTTTGTTGTTATTAGCATCTCGTTAGCTAGCTATGCTAACGAATATAAGAAGCTTTTTCTACAACCAGTGAGGTAAAGGCACATCTTTATATGATCATTATAGTTATAAAACAAATAAGAGAATAAAGTAAACGGGTATAAAATACTATATGACAGTAACAAAAAGTTGTTATTAATAAAGAAGAATGCAGTTTGAAAGGAGAGTGATTTGTAGAATATCCATAAAGAAAAAGAAAATGTGCTTACAGTTCTGTTTTATATGGATGTTGAGAGATGTATCCATAGATCTAATGTTGCTCTCAAAGTGCACCAGATTGATGCTTTTAACTTCAACATTTAAAAAACAAATCTTCCCGGGGGAGCATGCCCCCCGGACCCCCCTAGAGGAGGTTAGGTCCCCTCCCCCACTTAAATCATGTTCACATGGATAGGAGTCTAAATACATTTGCACACATCTTGTGTCCATATCTTTCTGTTTTGGTGGTCACGCCACACCGTGCACGTGCATGCACGAGTCATGGCAAGATATCTGGATTCAGAGGTTGCTTTTTCTTTGCACAGCATGAAAGAAAGGCGAAATGAATGGGCTGTGATTTTAGTATTTTTAAGCAAAGGTCAATAATTTGTACGGCCCTCGGAGGATGTTGAAAACATTGAAATGGCCCTTGAGAGGAAAAAGGTTCCCCACCCCTGGATTAGAGGCACGAGGTGTTTCCCAAAATTAGAGACGATTGAGAGCTCGCTTAGGGATCACATAACGATTCAGGAGGCCCTTGACCCATTTTGTAAAATACTAGCAGGAGTTAAACACCTCTTAATGAAGAAGACCTGGAGGATAATGAGTGTTTAAGGACCCTTCCCTAATCCTCCGACCCCATTCACCTCAAACACTTACTTTCATCCCTTCCAGGTTTCCCTTTCTCTAC